TTGGTATACAAATAAGGTTAGAACATATAGATAGTTATTGCGAGTTTGTGTTTTATTACACACACACACATACGTGTACTTATATATCTACATAGATATATTAGCAAAAAAAAAAAAAAAAAAAAAAACAGTATCCGCATATCCTGGACTTACATACAGTGCACCCTAATGAGATAGGTAGATGGTTGGATACACACACACACACACACACACACACACACACACACACACACACACACACACACACACACAACACACACACACACACATATACATATATATATATATATATATATATATATATATATATATATATATATATATATATATATATATATATATATATATATATATATATATATATATAAATATATATATATAATATAGAGAGAGAGAGAGAGAGAGAGAGAGAGAGAGAGAGAGAGAGAGAGAGAGAGAGAGAGAGAGAGAGGAGAGAGAGAGAGAGAGAGAGAGAGAGAGAGAGAGAGAGAGAGAGAGAGAGAGAGAGAGAGAGAGAGAGAAATTGGGAGAGCTAGACAAAATGAAGTGAGAGCGAAAGAGAGAGTGAAAGTGAAAATGAGATACAAAGAAATATTGGGAAATGATGGGGAGAGATAAAAAGGAAATAGTGACAGTGATACAGTGATATGCTTGCAACACAATTTTCACGGGCCAGACGCCACCCGTGAAGCCTTGCAATAACTGAGCCTTTGGCACGGGTGTATACATGTGTGCGTTTGATTGTATGTACGGTAATATGCAAACATATATGATCATATGTATTTTTGTGTGCATCTTTTTATTACATATGTATGTATCCTTATGTCTGTCTTTATACCTAGCTATCTATGTGTCTATCTATGAGAGAGAGAGAGAGAGAGAGAGTCAGACAGCGACAGAGACTGGGTGGAGAGAGAGAGAAAGAGTGACTTCTATTGACGTGGCTGTAGGCTTGACCAAATATCATCATATTTCTGTCTTACCAATATTCCAATATAGCCTAGAAGATACCGACTTCGGTCGCCGTAGAATAATGTTAGTCTTTTTTTGGCCTATCGGGGGTTAATGTCTAGAGTATGCAAAACATTCAAAAACACAAAACAAGCTCTGAGTAGGGAACAGATAACCGAGCGACATAACACCAGAGAACTCATGAGAGCGGCTAACTTATCGGGACATCGGCTAATTATCATGAGACGCATCGTGTCGATGGACGCCGAGGCAACGAGCAAGGCTGGACGCCTGGAATTTCCACCTGTTACCACCTGGGACCGCCATCGTGGGCAACCTCCGTGGACATTCCAACGACGTTTTCATTCATTCTTAAAATAATACGAAGATATATTCTTTGTTTCGCTTTCATTACCTTGATATTACTGCTCTCAGTTAAACACATAAAGATATTTCAGTTTTATGATATTCAAAAAGCCTCCAGAACTGGCAAGCACTCAACTGCTTGTTCCCGCCTCCAGGACACTGACGGAGGTGTGGGAGATAAACCAGGGAGTCACGCTCGCACGGCCCAGGCTGCGGGTACTCCTTTCTCTCTCTCTCTCCCAATCCACGAGTTTATTTACATAAATGGGGGTTTTCTAGCAGTAAGCCAGAGATTCTATACGGAAGACTGCTTGTTTAGGGTAGCCCTTGTTGCAGGCATATATAGAGAAGCCGTAGTTGGGCTTCATCTTTATATATAATTACCATTGTGTTTTGACGGACGGACGGACGGAGGACTAGAGGCAGAAATATGTAAGATAAGTAATGTTTGCACCGGCAGTATATACAGGCTTTCTTATAATTTCGTTATTCATGTGTTTAAGTTCAAGCTACCATACTGAATATTAATCTTATGTTTGTTTGTTTGTTTGTTCATGTTATTGCTTTAACAAGGAGTTGTGCCCAGGCTCCTGTTGATTTTCATACTAATGCTTTTCCAGACTTTTGAATTTAGCATTAGTGTATGAACCCGACCCATGCATTTCAGTGGGAGATTTTAACGGCCGGTTCGTTAAAATTGTACGAGGCCCGACCCAATAAATATTCATTATACGGACATGAATACACAGAAATGAATGCATATATATCAGTCTAGACACGCATATATATCTGACAGATATATAGATAGATAGATATCAGATAGATAGACAGATATGCATCTATTTCTAAGTATATGCATGTCCGAATGTGTGAAGCTTCATTGTGTGGGGCCTCGCACATTTTTTTACAAACTAGCCATAAGTCACGAGTTGGTAAGCTCGATGACGCCAATAATGGAGCTGTGCAATCAAGTGAAAGAAAGACAACTGATGAGCAATTGAGCGCTCATGGGAGTCATTTCAGCACATATTTGAGTGACGTAGGTGAATGTATTGTCAATGGAAGAGTTACTCCACGTCTAGACAGTTGGACAAATGTTTCAATGGCAAATAAAGGAGGATCCTCTGTAGTTGACTATTCCACGTGGAACTACTCAGGTATAGGTTATTTTTAATAGTTGGATGTGATTCCATATGCTGATTACTTGGAGTGAAAAAAAATAACTTGGTGGATCATGTCCATACAACTCACAGTCTAGCGGGATTTGCAATATCAATGGCTAAGCTAAATCTTTCTAATGACTTTTACAATGTGAATGTGACAAATACATATATTTTTTAATACACATTCAGTAAGTATAGAACAGCAGCTCATAAGGGAAGCTACCAAAACGTTTATGATTAGGAATTTATCACATGAATTTTCAGAGACCCAATTTTTTATACAGGAGTTACAGGTGATTAAGCGAGATATTGCTGAAATGGGTATTGATCAAGGCAGAATAGATGAAAAATATGAGGAACTTATACCAGTCTATTTCGCTCAGCTGGAGCAGTGGTTTATCCCAATTATCAGAACAATTAAGAAAAGGCATTGAGAAAAGCCAAACCATGGTAGGCTATGGAGTTAATGGCATTATGAAAACCGCTCGAAAAGCTGAAAAGACATTCCATAGAACTACAAAAATGTTTGGGAAATGTTTGGGTTTAAATAGAAATTCAAGCAAAATGAAGCATGCTTTGATTGTGATAAAAAAAAAGCGCAATCACTATAAAGAATGGCTAGTTAACTTAGAAAAAATAGATGTAAACAATCCGCATGCTTTGATTGTGATAAAAAAAAAGCGCAATCACTATAAAGAATGTAAACAATCCGAAACTGTATTGGGTGAGACAAATAAGCTGAAACCAAACATAAGGAAAGATTATGATAAGTAGGGATGTGTAGCAACCGAGCAGGTCTATGTAAATGAGAATTTGAAAAAAATATATATATTTGTACAATACTAAGAAAATAAAGCAAGAAAATTTGATTTGTCATTTCTATGTGATCTAAAAATTATGTAGGTAAAGGAAAGGGGTTTGGAGTTTCATTGAATAATGAAACATCTTAACAGAAAACAGAAAATAAAATGCAAAAAAATGGAAGAGCCGCTAATGGTGAAATCGATCCCCTGCCCAATAAAGTCTTCTAATATTATGCGTCACCTGAAATGCCTTTTAATGCAATTTGATTATGACAGATTTTTGGATCTAGAACTGGCCAAAGCGATTTGATATGGCAACGATTAACCCAATACGGAAAAATGGCCAAAAGGACATGACAGGGCCGCTAAATAATCGAGGTATTTCCCTGCTATCATGTCTTGGAAAATGCACTCCTCAGTTTTAGTGCATTGTTTGTACATAATATATATATATATATATATATATATATATATATATATATATATATATATATATATATATATATATATGTGTGTGTGTGTGTGTGTGTGTGTGTGTGTGTGTGTGTGTGCTGTGTATGTATTATATGTGTAAAAACAAAAAAACAGGCCTACTGTACATTATAAGTGCTTTATTTTTTCGTCGTCATGTAAAACTAAATCAGCATAAACTATTGTATATTCTCATGCTTTTAGGGTGAGCTGCATCATCAACACGTGCCATTATTTCTGCTATCAGTGATAGTAATACCACAGTATGAATCAAATAATGGATTCTCTTTTGGATGTTGCACATATCTAATGTACAGTAAACTGTTGTTGGCAAAAATCTTTTCCAAATACACACTCTAAATTATTGAAACAGGCAAAATCTCCAACCTTTCTCTACCTCGCTCTCTGTTCATCTATTTACTTATCTATTTTAGCTATTTTTTCCATTTCTGTTTATCCATCTCCTCTTTCGGTATTTAACCGTTTTTTTAATAAGCTTTCGGACTTCCTATTGCACTCGTAGTATGAGTTACAATTACCGTCTTTATATCAATACTATATAGAGAGTGCATAACCAAAGGGTGTGGTTTAGGGAGATATGTATCACTCAGGTCGTTTAGTTTCCCTCAACAAAGGTTTAAATTATATGTTGCATTTGACAGCAAATTTTAAGTGATTCGATGGGTTGTACTATATATAGCTTAGTATAATGTTTATATGAATATATCTTATGGGTGATGTTATTTAATGTACTGCTGCTGTTTTTATTCTTTTCTTCTTTTAGTGATAATCTGAAATATCCTCGTCCTAATTCTCAAATCTTTGTTAGGCGACTAGAATTGTATAGTTAGCATATACTGTATCTAAGATCAAATTGAAATGCAGTTGATTTAATCTAATATAAACGTCAGGCCAGCCCCTATGATTGAACCGATCAAGTCGCATAAACCCTTTTAAAGCCCGTTAAATGTATCATAAATTAATTATTTTTTGTTTTATGAAAGAGAGAAAATGTCGATCCATTTAATTTTTAGGTTAATCTCACCAAAAGCATAATCAATCACAAGGTTAGCCCTAGAAAAATTCATTTTGTTTCGAACGCTCGAAACGTATCGAACAAGTTGTCTTTTTATTTTATCTTTCCCTCCTACAAACGTGGATTTCATATGCACATAACTAATTCCTCGAAGTGTAAAGATTTTTAAAAGTAGATTCATCGGGTTAGAATTTATTTTAAATCTTGCTAGATACTATTCTATTTTTGGCGGGAATCGAGCCTGGCGGAAAGCAGAAAATTCTAGATTCCCGCGCCAGTTGCAAGGATGCGCTCTGGTCGACAGGACACGCACGCGAGCCCCGTCTTGGTCAAGTCCGAAAAGACGTCGACACCAGGTAATTAGAACAGTCTAGACCATTGTTTATGAAGTTTATTTGCATTCTTTTGTGTTATCAGTGCGTAACTGATTTTTAAAACCTTTTTCTTTCTAATCCACCCAAAAGAGACTTGCTCTTTAGGGGGAGACGTTAAAGACTTATTCCTCTTACTGAGATAAAGTCAAAATGCTTTGATTGTTTTTGGCCGTATTTTTCATTTCTTCATTACTGAGTGCGTGAGTGTGCTTGTGTCGGTTAGATTTTAGAGAAGAAAGGGGGGAGGAAGAGAAAAGGAGAAAGTAAGGGAGTTGGAGAGAGGGAGGAAGGAGGTAAGGGCAGAGATGAGAGAAGGGAGGGAGAGAGAGAGGAGAAGGATGAAGAGAGAGAGGGAGGGAGAAGGAGGAAGAGAGAGAGAGGAGAGCGCGAAAAGAGTAAGAGAGGGGAGTACAGTTAGGAAGAGAGCGAGCGTAGTCACATGGCCCCCGATTTCCCAGGTAAGTTCTCACCTTTAAGGGAAAACGTTTCTTGCTTTACTTAATCATTCCAGCGTTTCCTTAAACATGAAAAAATTAAACATTGAACGGGAAATTTCTAAAAAAAATAAAAAAAAAAATAAGGCTGGTGATCATAAGGTTAACGGGAGAAACTTCAAAATTACCGTTAGATTCTTAGGTTAGCAAACGGATTAAATAATGCTTTTTACAGGTCCATTGGCTAATGTTACCGAAGCAAAAATATTGATAACTGATTAAATCGAAAAGAAAAAAAATAATGTATCGAAAGCTTAGAAGAGTTAACCAAACGTAATTCAAATTTGAAATTAAATTTTGAAGTCACTATACTCTCAATATATCGTAAATAATCGTCGAAAGTATACATAAGACCCAAGAAAAAGTCTCCAGTAAATGGAAATAAAGATAAAACTTGGAAGCACGAGTCACGTGGCCTTTGCCTTCCGGCGCTGGATTTTGGCGGGAAAGGCGACGGCGCCGCGCAGTTGCCAGCGCGTCGGTTTATTTCGTTTGATGGGCGGCGGCAAGAGGGTGGGTTGCGTTTGAGTTTGCTTGTTTGCTACTGCGTCTTTAGGTTCCATTATATTGCATTTATATTTTGCCATGAAAGGTTAACAGTAAGAGATACATATGCGTAGAAGGGCAGTGGGGGGGGGGGGACTCTAGAATGGAGGGGGGCGAGACCCCCCACTCCGCAACTTTCGAGGACATCCCCTGTAAAGAGAAGTCAATTCCTTAGTTACCCAGTTGTTTTGAACACTTCCCCCTGCAACTGAGAGTCTGGTGTTCAAAATGAAGTAGCCATTATGTCAGATTTTATCTAAATAAAAATGTCTGACATTTTAGTGCATAAATTATTTATCTCTTGGAAACTGCTAAAATCCAGGGGCTTCGCCTCCTGCCCCCCCCCCTCCCCCACCGGGACATTTGCCCTCACTTCAAAATACCTTCCTACGCCTGTGATATCGTTGCCGAAAATTTGTGTGTATGCATTAACCGCAGCATAAACGCTGCGCACACCTATTGTTACTGCATGATAATAAGTGTGGGCGTGTTTTCTTCTCGTCTACACTAATTACCTAGACTCTCAAAGCTAAAATATGATATATTTCACATTGATCTGCAGGTGATCTAGGCAAAGAAGAGACATCCTTTTGTGTGCGTGAAAAATCTCTCTGCTGCCAAAGCTTCATGGAGCATCAGCTGCACGCCAGTGACGACGGCCAGGATGCCGGCCGCGGGGTGCGCGTGGCCTTGTCAGCCGCCGATGAGCTACATGGCTGCGCCCTGCGTGCAAAGTACCGACCTTTGCGTTCGCCTCGCCACGGAAGACACCCGTCAGAATCGGACCTGGCAGTCGGGGACCTCACCCTCAACGACACCACCTTCGACGAAGAATCGTCCGAGTTAGAACACGCCGATAGAATGACGCCACCACGAAGTCACTCCTACAGGATCACGTATCACAAGCCGGTCCTGTCATCGCGCCGGGACTCCTCAGGGTGCGTGTTCCGTCTCCCGAAGCCTCTTACGGAAGAGCAGACGCGTGCAGGCTACTGCATCTTGACGTTCGATGAGCCGCATTTGCATTGTAAGTTTATTTGTCAAACAATGGTTTGTCAAATCACATAGCATTACTTTTTCTTTTGTCTTGATAAACACTAATCGCATTAGCTTTTTCATATGAATTCCAACCACACTGATTTCTTTTCTCCCAGCTGATGGCTGTAAAGAGACCGAGAACGGAATATGCATGGCAGACTTCGTGGTACACATACCAGATACTCGGGTAGGTTTATTTCACAATGCTTAAAATGCTAGTTGATCATCAGAATTGCGAGGTTTAACTGTCGCTTACTT